GAATGAGCACATGAATGCAGACCTGTCTTACCAAAGCATCAGTGGGGCAGGCACTTTGAGATCAGGAATCTAGTACTTTAGAGAACGGTAACCTACTAACATTCTTTTTTTGTCCCTCATGGTGAAAGAAAACATTTTCCTCATGTGTGTCCATTTTCACTCACCCACTATTTTCCTCATGTGTGTCCATTTTCACTATCCCACCTTCTATGGGAGAAAGTCTGTGAATCAGAAATGAAACCCTCCAGGACTCAACATTCCTAAAGCGAATCTTAAATTATGTACCATTATTATTAGTAGTGTTCAATATCAAAGAAAGGCATCAGCTGCAAATACAGCATTTTCTGATGTTTCATCACGTGTCAAGTATCCCTAAGCAATGAATAACACAACCCTGTACCTTCTCAGAAAAAAATAATCAGATACCCACCTAAGTTCTTAACAAGGAAATTTATTTCATTGTTAAAATGTAAGACATGTCAATAATTCACATTCACCTGTGAGTGAGTGGGTGATAAATGGGAGTTACTGCTGCAATCAAAGTGTTACATGGTGGGTTGTGAGCCAATGAAATGACACCAATACAGTAGAAAGGGGATCACGATTAGATCAGAGATCAGAGTGACAAGTGAATGGATGATTCTTATGACACCATCAGGAACCATTAACCTGGTTACCTTGGCAGCCAGAGTCCTCAAGATAATGAAGGTGATGACAAATAAAAAAGATAATGGTAATGGTGATGTTGTAGAGATAAAATTGCAGCTCAAGTTTAAGTAAGAAATTCCCCCACCATCATTCAGGTTCTCTTCCAGTAACAAAAACATAGGCACACATAACCTGCATGGTGACACACAGACTAAATTTAAGATGCCAAAAAATTAGTATTAAAATACTAAGGTCAAAGGAGTCTAAAGTCTCTTTTTCACATCCTCTTTCAAGCAACCGAGTAACAGTTGATTCCATCCAGTGTACCTCAACTCTAGTGCTTAGAATGAGAGTAACAAGGGAGAACTTAGACACTTGCTTTCCAACCACTTCTCAGTTGGATCTGAGTTACCTTCCCCCCACCCGGCTTCAGAAACAAGTTCACAGGCAATGATTCTCAGACTGAAATTTCTGGGTACATTTTTTGATGGCAACACCATGTCATTGACCAAACAGAGTTAAAGAAATCACCATAAAAGAGACATACATTCTTTATCCCAGCTTAGAAAACCAGAGACTCTTTCAATCAGTTACAAAGACAACCAGGTGTCATTTTTTCCTAAAGTTCAACTAAACTATCTACTGAGAAGGAAAACTCAAACCTCTATGAAGCTCCATAAATAATAAATTTATTGAAGAATAAGGCAAAAAAAAATTTAACCAAAAAAAAAAAAGAAAGAAAGATTTATCCTTTTCAATACCAGCTGTGACATAACTGCTTTGAAGGAGTGCCTGCTCTCTGATTTTTAGACAGGAAGGTCTGCAATGAATTGTACATTCTTATCGATGCCTACACCAGTTAATAAAGAGCTATTGTTTTAAAGATGATAAACCACAAATGGAATTTTCTTCTGGGATGTTGGTGGCATAAAAAAAATTCATTTTGTAAATGTCAGCACACTGCATGCAGGAAATATTTGAAAGAAGATATCCACACATGATAAAAGCTGAATGATAGACATGTGGCATTTCTACACTCATGAAAATAAAGACATTAAAAAGGAGGACAGTCTATGTCTGAAGAAGAGACAGTGAGATCCCCTTCCCACCCACAGTAAAGATTTGAATGTGAGAGCTTCAACGTTAGAATCACACACTCATTTTTATTTCTAATCTATCTGTGAAAATGACTCATTCCATTTCCTGATAATTATATATTAATATTAATTTTACAGTCCTTGCTATAAAAGTCCTTTCTGGATGGTTGCCTTTAAAAAAGTAAAAAGTAATATCTTCTTATAGGGAATAGGAGTAGAGTAAAAAAATTCTTCAGTTACATCTATACTTTTGACATGCCCATCAAATTTACTTGAAATGACAAAACATCCAGTCAATTTTTCCCCCAATTTTTAACAGTCAGGAAAACTTGTGACAGTGTATCGAATGTCATGCAAATACATCAATCTACTGATTACATTGCATTTTTGACCTTGATCTTTTTTACCTTACTTTCCCAAGCCTACCTCAGAGCAACAATTTCCTATAAGAGGTAAATTACTTTTTTGTGTGTACAACTACCTCAGAGGGGTTATTTGCTGAATCGAAAGTAAAGTTTTTAATTACCTTGCTTTGCTGGTGATTTAAATGACTACATACCATTTTTCTGTGTTCTGTGCCTCTGTTAGAAAAAGAAATGCTGAGGGAAATGCAGCGACACTGGAGAAATCAATCATGTTCAGACTGGCCATTTTGACAGTTTACTTGCTACAGTTTGGGGAGAAATTAAAAGAAATACTCTCATGGAAAAATAAATGATATCATCCTGATTTTGTCTTCAGACGGAATAATTAACTTGAAGAAAAATAACCAATACTGGCTAAAAAAAATCTATGAACAACACTGTGTATTATATGCAAACTCCTTCTATCATCAATCACAAATCACGTCTCTTTCAAGGGCCTGCAGTTCTAAGCTGGATTCTTCTTCCAAAGTCCAACAAAATCCTCTATAGTGGATCTCAATTGCACAATTACCCCAACCTGGTAGAAAACATATAACTTTAGTAAAGGAATTGTCTAAGTTAAGGTTTCCTAACACTTTCTAAATCATACTCCTTTAACTTAACCAGAAAGATCTTTCTAGAGTTTCATTAAAATCAGAAAGAATCAGGTTAGGTTTAACCTTCATAGAATGAGTATTTTAAGTTATGCTGTGAACCAATGAGTTAGAATTATTAAATTAGTGGAAAAAAGAACTGTTCTTTATACACACACACACACACACACACACACACCCTGAACACAAATATACCAGTAGTGTCTCACAATCTTAGGGAGGACAAATACACATTAACCAGAGAATTTTCTTATCTTTCTAATTTCTTCGTGGAGGGTAAATACAGAGAAACAAAAAGCACATTGAAAGTTTTGTACCATTAATTAGAATGGATCATACATTTGTGGATGTTGTGATTATTTTTTCTCATAAGTTTTCTTACTGGAAGAAGCATTTCAAAAGTGCTTTCTCTACCCCAACTTCTTTCCTACTTCATTGAATGGCCACTCGGTAACAAATCTGAAAAGTTATTAGAAGGGCGATTTCATGTTTGAAAAGTAGATGCATCTTAAAGTAGAAAACAAAGGTTTTGCATGTGTGAACTCTCCAACCGCTTCTTCAGCTACCCACCTTTTAATTGGTGTTCTAAAGAAAAAAATATAAAGCTTTGAGTCTTACAAAAAATATCTTCAAAGGAGAGCATATGAACTGATGACAGAAGGTTGTTCACAAAGCACATCAGAAAAATATATTGTGTACAATTACCAATTTTTGTTTTCTGTCAGAGCAAGGCTTCTCTTTCCTTTCTGCCTATCTTTTACTGTCTAATATATTAAGAAAATTTAAATATTCTTTAAAAAAAATTTTAAAGATCCCTCAAAAATGGAGTTCAAAGAGCTTTGCAAAAGTAAATGTAAAGATACTTTTTAAGTGAATTTAGTAGCTCTAAAAGCTTGGTACTAGATACTGTGGTATAACCTATCTCATCACCAGTTCATACTTTCATTCTATCAACACCTTTTATGAATACACATAATTTGTACATGTGCTCACTGGCACACCAGACAATGAAATAAATGGGTATACATGTAACTATTGTACTTGTGCAGGTTGGAAAATTATACCCTTTGGAGCACATGCACATGATGTTTAAGAATAACAACAAATAACACAATCTCTGCACCACCAAAATAAATGAGAAAGAAAATAGAAGAAACTGGTTTTCAATATATTTTCAAGGGAAAAATAACTATCTTTATTTAAACATGCCCTTTAACCTCTATCAGTTCAATTTTTGAGCCAAGCAGGACCCTTTTCAAACTCTGAGAACAAGCTGAACAAACGCCTTACGCCAGCCCACCAGAGCAACAAGTTCTTTGTTTGGAATTGTGATTTTCTGAAGACGATTTAAACCTGGTTGTATCCGGAGCTATGAAATTATAAACTGCATCACGTTAAGTAGGATAGTATAACAGTCAAAAGCATAGGCTCTATCATCAAACCCTGGTTCGAACAACTAGCACCTGTCTATCCTTGGGCAAGTTAGCATTCCTACTCCTCCATCTCTTTATCCGAAATGGGGGTTCTAAATAGTGTTACGTATGCCATCCTCATCATCATCATTGGGAACTTAAAAGATTTTAATCTAAGAAAATGAATTTCAGCCAATTATAAAAGAAAACTAATTTACTAGCATTTGTATTGTACCAGTATTTATGATGACTCCAGAATTCATTTTGGCATTCATTCAATTCCAGTAGACATAGTAATTACAAATAATGCTTAGCTTGCTAGCAAAGCACTGACTGCACTAGGATTTCACATAAGTTATTTCATTTTATCTTCACTATGACCTTGAGATGAGGTTATTATCATCCCCATCTTACATAGAAGGAAACTGAGGCTTAAAGAATTTAAACACTAGCCTAAGCCAAGCTAGTAAAAAATGGATCTGTGATACAAACCCAGGGAGTCTCAGTCTAGAGATTTCAGAATCAATCTGCTTATAGTAGTTTTCTTAAATTAATATATATATATAGTCTAAAAATTGTTGAGGCACTATCACACTATCAACTAATAGCTACATAAATTTTATTTAATTACAAAAACTATTCATTAAAATATTATACTTACTGTAGTCTGAGAGTCAGTGAGCTTCCAAATAACAGGTTGCCATTTTATAGCAAAACTATACTTCGAATATCCAAATTTCATAAGTTGTTTGAAATTTAAAATGAACAAAGCTAATTGAAGACCTCAAAAGCAAAACTTAGAGGAAAGAAATCAAAATTGTTTACCTGTTACTTGAATTGAGGGGAAAAAGTTGAGAGCCAGGAGCAGCCTGAGGATCATTGTGCCGACGGTGGGCTAGGGCTGCAGCCCCTCCTCCCTGAGGAGCCCAAAGTGTGAGGTAGGCTGAAGATGCACCTATTGAGGCCAGAGAGTCACTGTCATCCACGGCCACCTCCAATTCGAGGGTTAGTCAACCACAAGTTACTCAAACCACAAGGCATCGTGACTGTAACATTTCACACAGGATATTACATTGTTTTTGATGACTTTAGACTTTTCTTTTAAAGGCAGCCTTTTCTTGTCAGTGACAAAGAATATCAGTCACTCTATGATGGGATCATGAAAATTATTCTCCGTGGATGGATATCAGAGCTGTGAAAAATGGGTGCTTGGAATCCAGCAGGAACTTAAAGGTATACAAACAAGATGTTCTGCAGGAGGAATAAAGCCTCCCACGGAGGAGAGATTTTCATAGGATGGAGATAGACACCAATAAGAATTATATTATCGGTGTGGAAGGAGTCATGAATATTAGGAATTGAACTTTTGTGCTGGACATAGATAGTCCTACAGAATATTTAGCACACCCTCCTTCAACTCACTTTGAGAAAGTTTGAGAAACCCAGCTGATCTACAAGCACCAAACCCACCGAAGAGAGGAATTTCCCTAACCAAAGGGAAAATAACAACATCACGTGTCCTTAAGGAGACAGTAAGGTGACCAAAAGCCCGTTGGTATATTATGCTTTCTGTGTCCCTCAAGAAATCATTCGCGGTTAGGTGATAGGCTGATAGTCAGAGAGGGAGACTCCAGAGCAGTTTCCCCAAGGTAGTCAGCAAGCCTCTGCAGCCCTCCCCGCCGGCCAGCTCTTCTGCATTTAGCGTCATTCCACTAATGGGGCCTACCCCACTCTCCTCTTCTGGCACCTGGGTAAGGATATTGTACTTGACGGCTTTCTCAAAATTTTTCCAGTAATTTTTTTTTCTGCTTTCTTGAAAATCTAAGCTTTATATGATTACCCTAGTTTGGGCTTTGTGTATATAAGTTTTTTTAAAAAAGATAATTTGTAGTGGTTTAATTCTGAATATAAAAGTAAGACATATTTCATACAGAAAATTTTTTAAAAGATACATTTACCTTTTTAAATGTTAAAATAATCATTAAAACAAAACTCTCCCATAATCTTACCACCCTGATATAAACACTTTTAATATTCTGGTCCATTGCCTTCCATGTGTTTTTCTATTAAGATTTTTACTTTTTTTTTTCCTTTTGTATGTTTTTATTTAAATTGAGATATAACTGACATATAACACTGTATTAATTTTAGATATGCAGCATAATGATTTGATATTTGTATATATTACAAAATGATCACCACGAGTCTAATTACTATCCTTCACCATACAGTTACAATTATTTTGCCTTTCATAATTTTTTAAATAAATTTATTTATTTAAATTAGTTTCAGGTATATAGTACATCAGTTAGACATCTATATTGCTCATAAAAAAATCCCCCCAAATACTCCCTTCCTCCCCTGGCCCTCCACTTAGCCATCATTCCCTATGCTGTGCTCCCCATGCCCATGACCAACTATCAACTACTAATTTATACTTCTTTAACCCTTCGCCTCCCCAACCCCCCTCCCCAGTTGTTCACTATATTAGTGAGTGTGTTTTTGAGTAGTTTGTTCCTTTTGTTCCTTAGATACCGTAAATAAATGAAATCATATGGTATTTATCTTTCTCTGTCTGACTTATTCATTCAGCATAATAACCTCTAGGTCCATCCATGTCATTGCAAATGGTAGGATTTCATTTTTTTAATGGCCGAATAATATTCCATTGTATATATGAACCATAATTTCTTTATCCGATCATCTGTTGATAGGCATTTAAGTTGCTTCCATATCTTGGCTATTGTAAATTGTGATGCCATGAATATTGGAGTGCATAGATCTTTACAAATTATTGTTTTGGCTTTCTTTGGATAAATACCCAGAAGTGCAATTGCTGGGTCAAAAGGTATATCTTGAATGTTTTCCCATGACATATAATATTAATTATAAACATCATTTGTAATTGATGCATAATGCTCCATTTTATAATCATACCATAGGTCGTTTAAGAATCCCCTAGTATTGTTACCAATTTTTTACTATTTTAAAATGCTACAGTGAATGTCTTTGATGACCTAGCTATAAGTGGAAGAAGTCTTCATGTTCCTCTTTCTACCTCTTCTAAATGACAGATAAAAAGTGTTTCCTCTCCTGGTAGACCCCTTTGTCCACATTTCCGTTCTCTCACAAACACTGTCCTTGTGACTGTCTCATACTGACACATTTTTCTGCCTTTTGGAGGAATTTGTCCTTGAAAATGATTAACTTACACTTCTGAATTAAAGGTAAATAATAAAATTATGCCCCCAGTCCTGGAGTAAATTCATTTCTAGAATTTGACCCAGTATTCCTGGCTCATACCCTATATCCAGTTAGGGGGACCTATATCTTACCCAGGGCCTAATGTCTTTCCAGGGACAATTTAAAGAAGGCATGATGCCATTCTCTAAAAGGTTATCCTTATTCTGGAGCCACTAGACCACCTAGAGCCTTCTAGAACAAGAGGCTCTGAAACTCATCATGAAGATTCAAAATATGCACAGTAGAAACAAAGACCCCCTGAACTTTCCTGTGATTGACAACAAAAGCTAAGGAGCAAATTAACAAGTGTCTTCAAGCATATAATAGATGACTGTAAAACATCTAGTTATTACTATATATATGGTAGTGCTTAATTAAATAAAATTTAGCTGAAAAGAAACAGTGTAATTATCTGGTCTAACTCCTTTATTTTGCAGAGAAGTAAGCTGAAGCCCAGAAAGGTTAGTTGATTTATACAAACCCACAAAACAATAATTAAGTGTATTTGATTTTATTACTTGACTAACTATATTTGGTTTTCATTCTTTAGAGTAAAAAGGAAACACACCATCTTTTTTAAAAAATATGTATCACACTAAAGAAGCAAATCATTTCATTAGGGTCCTTTCACATTTGCTCTTGAAATTCAATGGCATTCACATATACAAAGAAGTAGAAAAGAAAAAGAAATAAGAAATCTTAAAGCCATCAATGCACAGAGTATTAAGACTTTACTGCATTTCTCATAATAAAAATAGCTAGCATTTATGTACCAAGCACTTTACATGCCTGATCTCATTAAATACTCACACAATCTGTAAGGAACATGCTATTTTTATCCCCATTTAACAGATGAGAAAACTGACCCTGAAAGAGAATTAAGAAATCTCAGGAAGGGGTGGAGTCAGCATCAGAATCTAGATCTTTCTAACTTCAACTGCTATGCCCTAATCACATCTCCATATTGCCTTCCTACTGCCACGCTTCTTCAGTATTGTAAATTCTGGATAGAGAATATACATTACCTTTCTATTTCAAGGTATCTAACATGATTTCTTATTAGAGGCTGTGTGACTAGAATGTGAAAAGGAATAAATGTTTGTTGGATCGGCCAAAATGGATCACTGAATATATGTTTGATATATTTACATGGATTGATTGTGCTCCATAGCATGACTGCCACCAGAACCTTATTTTAGAATTTAGCATAGAATTCTTCCATGATGCACAATCTTTAGGTAATAACATAACCAGTATAAACTACAAAGTGCCACTGAAGAGTCTTCAAGAATTATAGTTGTCAAGTCAGTCAATAACGAGACACCCTTTTTCTATTTCTAATATAGGACAAGCCTACTAGGATATCTTCTCTGATCCACATTCCAACTAGAAACTTTCATTTTAGTTTCTAATATTCCCTAAAGCTGTACCATACAGAGGTTCATGCTCGCATGGTGATCATGGAAAAATAATGAAGCCTGAGATTCTCTCTTCAAGCTGTGTGGTATTATCCCAGCGGTTGGTAGTGAAAACTTACTCAAATAATAGACAAAGATGAAGTTAAGAAAATCATTCGTATTATCACAAACCAGCAGTACTAAAGCCCCCTAAATTATGCTATGCCTAAAAGTAATGAAAAAGCAAGAAGTAACTGCCATGTTGATTGACTAATCCCACTGAGTAAACAAATATTACAAAAAGATATATTTGCAGGAACAATCTAGGAGACTTCATGAAGGTTTATATGAAAAATATGATGAAAAGTAGCTTAAAATGATTACCTAAAAGCCTTTTGACTACTTACAGAGGCAGGCCTATGGCTCCAAGTGATAAAAGCAGTAGCTAACATTTCCTGGAGGCTTCTGCCAGTAGGTATTGAGCTAAGTATTATGCATTCATCATCTCGTTTAATCTCCACAACAACCCTAGGAGGTTGGTACTATAATATCTCCATTTTATAGGTAAGAAAAAGAAGATTAAAGAGGTCAAGTAATTTATTCACAATCACACAGTAAGTAGCAAAACAAGGATTTGAACTCAATTTAGTCTGATTCCAAAAAGTGAACTCTAAACATAATGGGAGAAGCAGACATAATCACAATCAACCCATAGTTGGAATGTGCAATTGATAGTGCAGTGGTTAGGAATAAGGTTTTTAAAGAGAAATGTATCTTCTTGATAGACACATCTGACCTTGAGCACCAACTTCATAAAAATTAATCAAGAATTCTATATGTGACTCGCAATGTCTTCAGTCAGGAGGCTACGGCTCTCATTGCTTCCTTGCTGATACTATACTCGTGCAGACCCTGTCAAGAGAAAGAAGCAATATTTGCGCAGTTTTGACATCATCCTAGAGGAATTAATGATGACGGGACTAGAAATTTGTGTAGTGTCAGCAAGGAGCTATCATGCAACCAGGCAATGTTGATCTGAGCTTTAAGACAGTTCCAAGACAACAGGTTCATTCATTCGGTAATCTGAAAAAGGCAGAGGGGGAGTGGCAGATACTGAAAACATCAATCGTCATCATTAAAGACTGAGAGAGACAATTACCAAGCAGATTTTGGCTAAACCATTATAACAGTGTAAACTTTGAGTCTTAGGACCCAAAGATATTGTTATCAGAAAAGTCTACTGTGATATTCTCAAATCTTATTATTCTGAAAATCTAATGTCTCATGGAGCCATGTTCTTTTGGTCTCATAGAGACCACCTGCCTGTCTTATTGCTGGCATTACACAAATGT